AACTATAGAGCCTGTGTCCTGAGTACACTGCACTACTGCAGTGAGTCCTGGATCCCTTGTGCACGGCAGGAGGGGAAGCTGAACACATTCCATATGTTTTGTCTCCAACGCATTTTTGGTATCACCTGGCAGGACAAAGTTCCAAATAGAGTAGTCCTGGAATGAGCTGGAATTCTTAGCATGTATACATTACTGAAACAGCGACATTTACATTGGCTTGGGCATATCGAGAGAATGGATGATGGCCAGATTCCAAAAGATCTCCTGTATGGAGAATTAGTGTAGGGAAAACACCTCGGAGGGAGACCACAGCTGTGATACAAGGACATCTGAAAGCAGGATCTGAAGGCCTTAGGAATGGACCTCAACAGATGGGAAACCTTGACATCTGAGTGTTCAGCCTAAAGGTAGGCAGTGCATCATGGCCTCTACCATCTTGAAGAGACACTTGTCCAGCAGGCTAAGGCAAAGAGGCAGTCCCGAAACCAGCAAAATCAGGGAGCTGGACAGGGGACAGATTGTATTTGCCTTCAGGGTGGAAGGGATAATCAATCTCGGATTGGCCTTCTCAGCCACACTAGCCGCTGTTCCAAGACCTCTGTTCAGAGCATGTTACCATAGTCTCTTGAGACTGAAGGATGCCTAACCTAGGCAAAGAGTACTCAGAAGTAGTTTACCATTCTGTTAATGTTTGTAACCCATAAAAGCGAAAGGAAGATTAAGTATACAGAGGGATGTGGTCTGAGGGGCCATTTTAAGAACCACCTACCTTAATTTTGTGGTGCTTTGCCTGGAAGGGCATTAATGGATTGATCTGGAGTGGAAGTTTTTCCTGGATTACCCAAAATAGCATCATCTCAGGCTGCATCCTTCGTTCATATCTGCATGATTTAAATAAGCTGAATAAACTCTCTTATTCCTTGTGGTTCCAAATTTGAAAACAGCTGCCAATTTGAGCTTGGTCCTTTCACAGCTGCTGCATTGGGCAAAATCGTGCCAAACCCAAAACATCCAATTTTTATAAGTGTTTCTTAGGGTCACATACTGTATATACACACATCCATGCACACACATGTCTACAAAGTCCTAGCTATCAAATACATAATATAATGTCAAACAAGCTTCACTATCAAATTCCACACACACACAAATGAATGGGCAATGGCTAGTATTCACTTCACTTGTGGTATGCGGCATGCATCACATAATAATATAATGTCAAACCAGCTTTACTATCAAATTCCACACACACACAAATGAAATGAAATAAATGACAGTGCGATTCATTTCATGTTTCAGCGTTGAGTGTTGTAATTCTTCCTGGGACTTTTATGAACTCTACCCTCAACAGGATATTAATGGAAGGCATAATGCTACATTACAGCAACACTACACTGTATTATTTATCTAACAAGAAATATGTCTCAAATATTCATAAATTTAACTTGTCCTAATTAAGAGGGTAACAATTATTTTAATGGGGCATCATTAAAGAGTCGTACATAAACATCATCTTGTGTGTATTTCCAAACAGTGAAGCGATTCTGGTGTCTCACAGCTGGGGAAGCTGGAGGGTGAGCAGTCAGTGATAACTTCGTAAATCAGATGGACAATGTGAACCGTCATAGGTTGGACTCTAGATCCTTGTTCATTTACACAGACATTTTCATCAATATTGGGACGTGGTGGCGCTGTGGGCTAAACCGCAGAAGCCTGTGCTGCAGGGTCAGAAGACCAAGCAGTCGTAAGATCGAATCCCCCTGACGGAGTGAGCGCCCGTTGCTTGTCCCAGCTCCCGCCAACCTAGCGGTTCGAAAGCATGCAAATGCGAGTAGATAAATAGGGACCACCTCGGTGGGAAGGTAACAGCGTTCCGTGTCTAAGTCGCACTGGCCATGTGACCACAGAAGATTGTCTTGGGACAAAACGCTGGCTCTATGGCTTGGAAACAGGGATGAGCACCGCCCCCTAGAGTCGAACACGACTGGAGAAAAATTGTCAAGGGGAACCTTTACCTTTACCTTTTCATCAATAACACACACTCGAAATGTTTCTGTTAATCAGGGATGGACGAGTTTTCTAAGGCACAGCAAAAATCTTGTCTACCCCTTCTTTCAATGGCTCAGCCCACCCGTTCACCCTCTGTGTCCAGTGCAAGTCTTGCTGGCCAGTTTGGGACCAAATAGAAATTATGGTCTTGTGTTATGGAAGTGCATTTTGAACAAAAGGCAGGCAGGAAATCTTTGTATGTCCTACTGTCAGGATCTGGCCCACACTGATCTGACAGCTGCAGTATTGGGGCCAGCCTGACCCAGAAATGTCCTGGTGTTTGCAGGGTCAGGCCCTGGCCTGTGTAGCAGCTGCTGGACCACTGATGAGGCTCAGCTGGAAAGCTGGAGGGAAGGTCTACTGAAGGAGTCGTTCTCCCTCCCAGAACTGGCCTTAGCAACAAAGGTGTTTGGCTGTGCTGTAGTGTGCTTGCTTCTTTGCTGCCCTGAACTCCAGAGTCCCTAGTTAAAACCCATCACCACTTGCCTCTTTATTCATGGTTGAGAGGGCAAAGAACTGTTCCCCCACCCCAAGCCTCTGTATTTTGCACAAAATGCCTCTACTATGCCTGCCCATCCAAAAGCAAAGCACACATGCACAAGAGGCACAGAAAGACTGGGTGATAATGCAAAAGAGATGGGAGCAACCCATCCAGTGTGTCAGATCCTTAAACAATGTGGTAATCACTGGAGCTTCCAGTAATTTACCCATATGTTTGCACACACACAGACAAATAACAATTTTGAGCAAAATACTAATTAGACCTAGGATATTTATAGTTGAATCCCTTGAGATACAAAAATGAATATAGGCGCCACAGTTGCCTGGGAGGTCCAGTTCCTCCCTGCAATCCAGGTGGTCCAATTACTGGTTGCCATGTGGTGCACATGTCCGGTATGGTTCCCGTCATGACACGCATGGAAGTAGCCTGTCCAGCGCTTCCCTGCCTCCCTGAACAGCTGATTGCTCAACAGCTGAGCAGGGAAACTCAGCATCCCACCTCCTTGCCAGAGTGGTTGGCTGCGTGAGGAGTCAGGGAAACGCTGGATGGGCTGCTTCCGCAATTGCTGCAATGGGAACCCTATTGGCCATGTGCAACGCTGGATGGGCTGCTTCTGCAATGGGAACCCTATTGGCCATGTGCACTGTGCAGCAACCAATAATTGGACCTACGAATTCAGCATGGAGGGACTGGGCATTCCAGGCACCGATGGTGCCAATGTTCATACTCGTATCCCAAAGGATACAAATCTCCCATGTTTAGTATCAGTATTCTACACCTTCATTGCAAGTGAGAAGCGTGTCACAGCCCCTTATCTTCGTGCGCAAGGACAAGATAAGCAAAGATGGCATCTCAAGGCTGGATGGAGAATTACCAGAAGGCAATGTTTTTTTGGGGAGGGGTCACGCTGGCAACAGAAAATTTGCCAGGAGCTTCCTTCTCACATACATGCAAACAGCCTCACGGCTCCATACAACAAGAAAGGAAGACTTAATTTTCCCCTCAGCAGAAAATAATGAGACCTCGCCTTGCTTGCTGCTCTACCGAACTACAGGGACCTGTTTCTCCCTTTCAGGAGAAAGCTTTGTGCATCTAAAGAGGGTGCGGGGGGTTTCTTAAAGCAAACAAAATGCTACAATTTCAGGGCCTGTGTTGACAGCTGAACACAGATGAGTCTCCAATAATAACACATTGTTATGCCCTTTTTGCTTGGGTTTTCCTGACCGCCCTCCCCAACCTTGGCCATGGAGGGATATGTTATGCCCTTCCTACTCTCTTAGCTGCCCTTTCTTCCATTTCATCACCCATGATGGGATTATTAATGGCCTTTTCCCCCCTTTCAGGCTTCCATAGAGGTGGCTTCTGAGGTGAGAGATGAATTGCAAAGAGGTTTGATGGGGGGACCTGCATTTCATGTGATCAAAGAAGTACAATTTAAGTACTTTTAAATTAGGGGGTGGGATGAGAAAGCCAAGGTTTCATTAGCCTTTCACAAATTCATTTCTCTACAGCCTTGTAATCTATGTGTGTGTGAGAGAGAAACACTTGTAGCAGGCAATTACAAAGTGTGTTGCCAAGCTGGGCTACAAATGGCCCACCTTTTCCACTTCTTTTGAGCTTGAAGAGTGGATGGCTACTCCGTCTTCTTCATCCATAGCTTCTTGTCCACAGGAACCATCTTTTCAGCTGAGCAGGTGCCATAAAGCCAACACTGGCTCAGTCCATTCAACCATTCCTTGGAGCAGTGTTCCTCAACCTTGGGCCTCCAGATGTTCTTGGACAACAACTCCCAGAAGCCTTCATGACCACCTTTGCTGGCCAGGATTTCTGGGAGTTGAAGCCCAAGAACATCTGGAGGCCCAAGGTTGGAGAACACTGCCTTGGAGGACTGAGGCACATGCAAAGGGCTCTTGAACCCTCTCCACTCTGGCGTTGCACAGCTGAGGTTTGGACAGCTCTCTTCTTGTGCATAGCTTGACAGGAGAGCCTCCTCAAGAGATATTGTCAAAGGACATGTGATTCCTCCCATGTTCCAAAGCATGGACGCCACACTGGCTGTGGGATCCTGTAAACAACAATCTAAAACTTAGCACCTTTTCCATTTTCTGACTCCACTGTGCAGGGGTCTTTTACCCATTGAGGGTTGTGGGGCATTTTAGGGGATAAAGGGCCAGCCATGTGCTATATTCCACTCTGGAAACTGGCTGAAGAGGTCAAGTGGACCGTGGCAGGCATACATCTTACTATAGGAGAGGAATTATTAAGAATATCAAGGCAAAAGTCACTTTCAAGGATTCTGACAATCAAAGGGGAAAGGATGCTGTGCATTCAGATCAAGTGGATAAAGGTTGTTTTCTTTTAAATCAAAGGGGGGAGTGTTTTCTTTTAAATCAAAGAAAAGGGGGGGAAACACTCTGAACAAGCTCGAAAACAGGATAGCTGACCTTCTTAGCTTATTTATTTCAAAAATGTCTCCAGTGCAGAATGTGTTTGTCATCGTAAAAAGCTCCTTGACCCTCTGCCTGATGAAAGCTAATAGCAGGTATACTTTGGAGCGAAATGTAGAGAGAATCCTGCAGCATGGTGTAAGTCTATCTGGCCACCTGAGGTCACAGAGTCATTGACCGTGGTTGGGTTTTAAGCAGTGCCTGCTTGCTTGTTATGAACGCTAATGATGGTGGAAGCTGCCTGTGATGAGCTGAGGGTCACCGTAGGGCATAGGTGCGTCATTCCACAGCAGTTGTTCCGGCTGGGGTCATGCACCGCTTTGCTTAAAGATGCACACAAGGTCACCCGAGGCAGAAATTCATCCCCACTCCAGAGGCTCCTTAGCATGAAAACGGATCAGGTCTACCAATGGAAAACATAACACGGCGCTTGGTAGTCTAGAAGAGGGATAGACAACAGTGTCGTTGCCACTGGTTTGGTTTAAAAGAAAATTCAGACAAGTGCAGAGACTTTTGCTCAGGAGAAGAATATCAGAGATTTTTAAAAATCATACCTTTTTTGATAGCCAGAGAATGCTGGCTTGGGGGAAGCTGGAATTTGGAGACTTCAAAATGTAACTTTTCCAAGCTCTGGATTCCCTGTGGCCACTACCTACTCAATTTCATTGAACAAGCTTGACAGCTTCTCTGGCTTCCTTGACCTCAAGATGGTATTTCAATGAGCTTAGCAACACTTGATGTTTAATTCCCTTCTCTTGCAGTCCATCATTCGTTTAACACCAACAGAGTCCTGGATGTAGAGCAGTGGTTCCCAACCTTGGGTAGCCCAGATGTTCTTGGAGTGCAATTCCTAGAAGTGTTCGCCACCAACTGTGCATCCCGGGGATTCTGGGAATTGCAGTCCTAGAACACGTAGGTTACCCAAAGTTGGGAACCATTGAATTAGAGGTCTTCCAGATGCATAATAACTATGCAAGAAAGAAAGTCGTCTCAGTGATTCCTTCACCCGACAGCTGCAAAAATCTCACTAACAATGACTGCTGTCTGTTGATGTGCAGCCCCGTATCAGATGAAACCATGGCTGGAAACAGCCAGACTCCCCCTTATCTTTTAAAATGTCAGCATCACTTTAATTCTGTCCTCAGCCTGACTGAGGAAAAGCTGCTTTTCTCTCCGGTAATGTGAAGCAAAAAGTTTGCGTCCAGCAGAGAGTGATTAAGGATGAGAGATGGATCGCTCTCCTCCGCCCGCTTGTCCACAGCTCTGTCAGGTCCTCTCAACGTCTGGAAACCCCAGGCAGCCAAAAGGTCCCAGCACAAAAGGGAGAGAGGAAAGAGGAGCCAGGATTATTGACAGATCAAATCAGGTCCTGGGCTGAAATGAAGTCTTGTTTCAGGCTTGATCAAGTGCAAATTGCTCCAAGGGTGAGCTTTCCTCTTCACTCTGAAAAGATACGGATGAGTTGATGCGGCTGACAGGAAGGTAGAGGATTCCAAACTGGCTGTTTCTCAAATGTCCCTATGAGCATGAAAGTTCTCCTCTGTGTGGGGACCCCCCCAAAAAAACCCCCAATATCCAAGATGAACTTTTCCTCCGTGGAAGCCGTGGGCTTCTTCAGTAGACCCTGGACAGAAGGTGAATCCCGGGTAGCTCTGTCTGTCAAGATAGAGGAATGGCAAGAGGCTCGAGGGAACAACGAGTGTAAGGAATACTCACTAAGTTCATCCTTCTCATGGGTTTGGACTCTCTCAGCTCAACTAATTTTGAAGATGAATTATCTCCAGGCAGCACCAAGACAAAGGCAGTGGTCTCCCCCCACCCCCTTTCTTCATGGACTAGATGACAGCCAATAAACCAAAACTGAATACAGAGATCCTACTGCTAGGGGGATCATCAGATCAGCCAGAGGAAAACCTACCTGACCTTGATGGAGTTACACCCCCCCTGAAGGATGAGGTCTGCAGCCCGAGGTACTCCTGAACCCAGCATTCTCTGTGGAGGCTCAGATATCATCCATGGCCAGGAATGTTTTTTCATCAGCACTCTTTGGTTATCCAGTTGCACCCCTACAAGAAATGCCTAGTAAAAGTTGTCCATGCATTGATAATCTCAAAAAATAGATTACTGTGGTGCTCTCTATGTAGGGCTGCCCTTGGAAACAGTACAGAAATGTCAGCAGGTCCAAAATGTGGCAGCTACGCAGATTTCTAAGATTCTGATTTCTGTCATTCAAGGATGAGATCAGCTCAGATTTCCTTCCCTTGTGGGAACAGTAAGTGACTTGCCTTTAATGTTCCACCAGCATCATCCATCTGAGTCAGTCATTCTGTCGCTGCTGTTGCTGCTGCATGGCTACTGCTGTTCCTTTCTCCTTAAAGAATCGTTGCTCGAATTGCCACAATGTGCTGTTGAATTGGCAGCATTTTCATCTAAGGATCCTGCTGGGCATAAGAAGCAGGATGTGGAATTATTAAAAATCTAAGCCCAAATGCTTAAGAAACAGAAGCCAATAAAATAAGATAAATGTTGGTCCATTAAGTCCAATATACTCTGTTCTGACAGGCAGCATCTCATGGGGGTTTCAACTAGGAGGACTCATTTCTACTTGGAACTCCTTGGTGGAACCCCATAGATGTACAAGCCAGGCCTGGCCCAGCTTCCCTTCCACAATCCAATGTGGTTTCTTTGCTCAGAGTGATAGAATCACTATACTCTTCGCCTTCCAGGAACTCCTCTTCGAGGCTTTGCTCCTGGTTAGCAAGGCTTTCCCCCGGCATATCTTCTTCAGCCATCTGGCTGGTTCTGCCATTGCTTTGTTCACCCTCCCTCTGTGACCACAGGCTCTGAAAAAGCCCCTGGGAGAAGAGAGCAGTGAGCTTTCCTCTCCCCTCCTCTCTCTTTTTCAACCAAAAAACAAATTGCATTGAAATGTGAGCATGATTCAAGCCTTTTCGGCTGACATTTAGTATCTGAAGCCCAGCTGTTTGTCTGATAACTGTCAGCCAGGGAGATATCCGGGGTGCCCGCCTGCTGTTGGTTTTTGCTGATAATGGAACAAAGCAACCACAGATCTGAAATGCTGGATGGTCTCCCCTTGAGATGAGACAGATATTTCACCATGCCTTTTATAGTGCATATATTCAACTGGTTAAGCCTCTGGCTGGCACGAATTTGTAACAAGAGGAATAAGAGTCCTGAACGTCCATGCCACCAATATGTCCCCATCTCTGAAGACCTTTTGTAACAAGAACAAGAACAAGAACAAGAACAAGAACAAGAACAAGAACAAGAACAAGAACAAGAACAAGAACAAGAACAAGAACAAGAACAAGAACAAGAACAAGAACAAGAACAAGAACAAGAACAAGAACAAGAACAAGAACAAGAACAAGAACAAGAACAAGAACAAGAACAAGAACAAGAACAAGAACAAGAACAAGAACAAGAAGGAAGGAAGGAATGAAGGAAGGGCCCCATCAGATCCCTAAACCACTGAGCTATCCAACAAAGCTCTCTCAAAGATTTTTCTTTGTTTATATGTTACAAAGGTATTCCTCCTTTTCCCCAAAGCATTCAAGGCTGTCTCACTCCCCCACCTTCTCTACACAAGAACCCTGTGTGGTAGGGCAGACAGTCAAAGAGTAATTGGCCCCAGGACACCCATTGAGTTTCATGGCCCCCTGAGGATTTGAAGCCAGGTCTTCTGAGCCCCTAGCCCAAGACTTTAACTGAGATGCCAGACTATCTTGATATTTTTTACAATGTCAAGGTTCCTATCACAAAACATGAATCAATGTTGAAATAATTCCATGGAGGTTCACATCATAGAAAACCATAACTGCCGACAGAAAGAAACAGGAGCAAGCAGGAGGAAATACCTCTCGTCACTAACCACAAGCATTTACAAAAGTTACTCTTCTTTTTCTTTGACTGCAACTCCTGGGCTTATTTACCCAGCTCTCTCCCATCCAAACTGAATACAGGATAGGATGCAGTTTACATCCGTATATTCCTTTGCTTTTGATGTGCCTTGTGGGGGGGGAAAAAAAAAGAAAAATGTGATCTATGGCCTACATGGATACGAACAATGAGAGAACACAACTTTTACTTCTAGCACGGGCACAAGCAGGCTTTAGTCAATGAGTACATTCATCTGCTAAGGGGTCCATTAGGAAAATGCAGAAAAATGCACATATTTTCTTCCTGCAAAAATGAACAGAAAAATAAATCCATAGAGAAATGGGTTGGAATGGAAGTGGAAAAAGAAGAATGTTCATGGAAACAAACTGGACAGATCTGTCCATACACGACTAAGCCATTCTTGAGAGAGGTTCTATCTTGGCAAATATGGCCAAGGAATCAAGATCAGTAGAATTCCTCTTGAACCTTGCTTTAATCTCCTTCCCCTAAAGCTCCAGAACTGTAATTTAAGCACCCCATTCTCCTAGCCCTCAGTGATCCTCCAATCAAGTTAAATTTCCCAGGCTGATGAATCCGTCATAACCAGAGAAGCTTCCATTTTGCACTAGAGGACAAGATAGCCTTCTCAGGAGCCTCAGCCTCTGATCGATGAATCTGATCCATGCTTGATCTTCCAGATTTCTTTGTTACTATAGTTCTCAGCATTTAGCAAACCATTGTCAGGCTCAGAAAGTATCCAGAGATAAGAGTGTCTACCGGGATAACCTGGGTTAGAACAGGATCACATCTCTCTGCCAGGATAAAAGAAACCCTGGCGTAGGAAGAACAGACTCATTATTCCCTGGAGGGATATTATTCTCTAGCAATGGCCACTCTTTAGAATTGCCATTAGGAGACATTCTTTTTACTATTATTTTTCCTTTTATTTTTCTACCAAAAAAGGGGGGGGTTGATGTTGTTGCCTAGCAACACTCCTTCACAGACACACTGCTGAGATCCTAGTGCAATATGATCTGAAAAGTTATGGAGGTTTCTTTTCTCTTCCTATCTTCTTTTTGCTCCGGAGGTTGTTTCAACGTAAGCATCTTAGGTATCCAGATAAGAGAGACAGTTTCCTTGTACTTGTAGACTCCCTCAATTTCAAGTTTTTTTTTCAGATCTCTTTCTGAGGCAATGTACCCTCATCATAGTTGGTTGAGTAGCTCGGTGGCTTAGATATCAGGCTGCAGAGCCAGACGTTGGAAGTTTGATTCTCCGTTGGGTGTCCTGGAAAAAGACCCATCCTATGTGGCCTTGGAACAGCCATTCGCCGTCTCATGATCTGCCCAAAGTTTCATCATTTTTGCTTCCAGAGAAAGTTCAGGCTTAAAAACATGTCAGTTTAATTCAATCAACTTGAAAGCTACGTTAAAACATCCTTTAAAAGAAGTAGAGCACCCACCCATTACAAGCCTAAGCTTTTCTTGAAAGGGAGTTCCAAAATGCAGGAGAACCACCATAAAGGAGACAGACCTCTCCCGGTGGTCACATCTCCACCAAAACTCAGTTGCTCCTCAGACGACATTTTTCCTGCTACTGTTGTGTGCAACAGTGGTGTTGTCATAGTTCCCACTGTATGACATCACTGGTGGTGAGTGACACCATTCCTACTCTCTATACATCTGATTAAGGAAATCAGCCCCGAGTGCTCACTGGAAGGACAGATCCTGAAGCTGAGGCTCCAATACTTTGGCCATCTCATGAGAAGAGAAGACTCCTTGGAAAAGACCCTGATGTTGGGAAAGAGTGAAGGCAAGAGGAGAAGGGGAAAACTGAGGATGAGATGATTGGACAGTGTCATTGAAGCAACCAACATGAATCTGACCATACTCCTGGAGGCAGTGGAAGACAGGAGGGCCTGGTGTGCTCTGATCCATGGGGTCACGAAGAGAAAGAAAATAAGGTATTTGATTCTTCTCTATGTCTTGGGATGGGGAGAGAGAGCTTCCCGTTCCTTGTCCCTTCTGTCACCATGATTGAGTGCTGACGCCACCCTTGTCTACATTGGTTGAAAGCCAGAGGATCAATCTTCCTTCCACTGAGGGGAACCGCTGAATCTTGAAGAAGGGGCGGACAGTTTTGTGATTGCAGCCTGCCAGGTTGATTTGGAAGAGCCACCTTCCATCATCTCCTGAAACAGAAACAATCTGCTTTGTATGCAAAGAAGCAACAGGTTTCTCCGTTCTTCATCCCTACAATTAAAGGTTTCTAGTTAATGCAATCCTTGGTAACAGTGGCTTTTTTCTTCTTATTTTTTCCTTTTTTTCTCCATTACTAGCACTTATTAGTAGTTACAACTCTGAACACACTCCACCTTTTCTGATAACAGAAGCTAAGCAGGGTCAGGCTCGGATGGGTGATCAGAGGGGAATACCAAGGATCTCCTGATAGGGCTAGGAAAGGATACTGCCTGAAACTATGAAGAGCTACTGAATAAGTGTTGACAATACTGAACTAGATGGATCTTGAGTCTGAATCAAACAGCTTCCTAACCTCATAGGTTTCTATTTTATACAGATAGATAATGACTGGAACTCTGTGTGTCAACAGAAAACAAATGACATGGGGCACTGAATTTACTTTCTGGGGAATCTCAGCTTCCTTTTGCAGAGAAAGTAAGTTCCTAGTCCTTAACAGCGACAGAAATACGCTTGAAAATCATGATAAAACAAACAAATAGAATCTCCCAATGGAAATAACAATCCAGAATTGTAATCTCGCATGTACAAATGAGGTCCAAGCTGCATCATTTATACAAAATCTTAGTGTAGGTTTTGGACTATCCAAATACAGTAGCTAGCAGATGTGTTACGCACAGCCCTAAAAGCTGTGCCTTTTTAGGGATTTTTTGTGAATATACTGGCTGGGATTTGTAGCCCCCCAAAGTACCTTTTTGAGACATACATGGATTCTCCCAGTTTTTACAGTACTATGATGATTATTCTTCCTGCACTCCATCTGCAAACAAACCACAAATATTCAAATGGGATATTTTCTGAGCTAGGAAAACTGTGATCCCTTCATTAAATGGACCTTTGCCTCTGAATACTCTACAACAAGCAGCCTAAACAATTCCAGTTTCAGTTCAAAGAAATTAATTGGCAATACTTAGGTGAAATTAAGAATGAATGTTCAAGTGATGGCTGCATTTTAACTTTGGAATAATATTGAGACAAAGTAAACACCAGAGAAATTACAGTAGAGCAGGCACATCCAATGTTGTTTGGGGAGAGGGGGAAGGATTATATATTGAAATGGGAGCAAACGCTGCATAAATCTACATGCCATTAATGGGGAATGTTTCCTGAAAGTACCACCCAGGCTGAATATTAAGTGCAATAAACATTAAACACAACAAAAGGGCTACTTGATTGGGAAGAAATATATCACAGGAAAGACAAAGGGGATGCATCAGCTATTTCTCAAAAAATAGGCTTTTCTGTATTCTTTTGCCAGATAACATAAATACGCATTTTCAGATGTACATTAGAAAGGAAGATACAGGACTAGCCTGGCTGGCTCAAAATGAGGATCAAGGGATGGTGTTGTAAATAAGAGAAGATCAGAATGCAGTTGATGGAGATGAGACTTTAATGATGCCAAGGACCGCCAACATTTTCAGATCACAGCCCAGAGCTTGAGGATGGAGTGGGGAAATGCCTTTTGGACTACAGTTCCCAGAATCTTCCATCTAAGTGAGTCTGGACATTGTAGTCCAAAAAGAGTTAATTTTTTCCAGTTTGTGTCCCCAATAGGCTTTTGCATAAACAAGAATAGAACTTCCCCTCTCCACTGTTGAATCCTTTTAATGCAAGGCATCTGTCTCTGTGTGCGTGCGTGCGTGCGTGCGTGCGTGCACACACACACACACACACACACACACAGAGAGAGAGAGAGAGAGAGAGAGAGAGAGAGAGAGATTTCTCTTCCCCCTTTCCCTGTGTGAAAAACCCACACAGTGGCCTAGGGGGCCAAGAGCAAGCTTTGAATGTCCGGAGTTCCCCTTCTAGGGCCAAACTTCATCTCACCTCTTAATTGAAATTATACAATTTCTAAGCTGTGTCCTCCTTATTTAATGACATAGGTCTGTGCAAATATTTCAGAGGAGGAGTTGCAGCTCCATGCATGCCTGTGGATTCTGCAACCAGAGCACAGGGAGAAAAATATTTTCGTCTATAAATCCCAAAATCTAGGGATGCTGTCTTTGGAAATGTGTTGCAATCCTATATATGACTTTAGCCCTTCTCTGTTTACTAAACTTTGCTTCCAGGGAATCGTGGGCTAAGTGACGTTCCTAGAAATCCTTCTGCCTGTCCTTCTGTGCCGTTTAAGCCCTGTAGAGAAGTATTCTAATAACAGGAGCAAGATTTGGGGGGAAATGGTACATTGCATGGGAAAACGGTTCAAACACAACACACACTCATGCTGAGTTTGGAGAGGTTACTTTAGGGCAGCTGCAACTTGAAATCCTCCAGCAACATGGCCAGTGGTCATGTAGACCGGAGGGACTCTGGATATTGCCATTTTTTGGGGGGGGAAATGGAACTTTTCCAAGCTTGGCACACAACCGTGAGCAGCCCCTCTGCACCTGCACGAGGACCAACTGCTCAGATTGGTAGCAGATTGTTATGTCATGCTTTGGACATCAAAAGAAACGGCTTCAAATCAGAGTGGGATTGATATGCGAGATGGCTTGACATTGTACCAAAAGCCAGGCTCAAAGTCAAACGGCCGCGAGACACCAGCAGTGCCTTGTAGAGGTGGAAGAGTCTCTGTGCTATGAATTCTTGTGGTTTTTTTCTCATGACTGCCTAACTATTTAAGAACAATTACTCCTTACACAGTGGCTCTCCTCTGTGATGAGCCAAAGCATTCTGAACGCAAGTGTTACCCATTGGAGCACCTCATCAGGTTCATCTAGATTATCATCTTCATATATAAGCATTTGATCTTTATTAAATTCATTGAACACATGTCCTGTCTGCTTTATCAGGGCTCCAAAGTCAGATATCCTAATGCAAATATAAAAATCATCCATACTAATAGCAGTCTTAATTCTCCTGAGTCCTGATTGTGATGTAGCCATCTATGCACGTAAGAGAAGTAGACAGACACTTGGACAAAACTTGAGGTTGGCTGAGATAAATCATCCCACCCTGCCCCCACCAAAAAAAAACAAAAAACTGGCCCAGCGAGAAGAATCAGCATCCTCCTTAGAAGTGGAAGGCTAACTGACAACTGAAGGGTTGGAGAATCTTGGGGGAAAGGGTGGTTCCATTGTGTTGCAGCATTTTGCATTAAATGAAAGTGTGTATTAAAATGAACAGTGGATGAAAGTGGAGATAATTACCTGGCAACTCTGCTTTGATGGTCTTCCTGCCTTGAACAGGGGGTTGGACTGGATGGCCTTGTAGGCCCCTTCCAAATTCACTCTTCTATGAGATATAAATCAGTGCCCTCCTGATTGACATATATTCTGAACCATCTGAGCAGAGGTTGGGCTAGCTTTCATTGATCACCTTTGTAGCACATTCACCACTAAGACTTCTACTGCAGAAAACCACCCTTTCTCTATCATTAATCAGTTGTGCTGATGCTGATACAGGGCCAATGTCTGAGTGATCTCATACCCTAACAGCACCCTCAAGATATTCCAGTTGATGAACCAGTGCTGTATGGTCTTGATGTCCCATCACACAGACTGAGCCAGGCTCAGGTTACAAATGTACTCAAATTATCCACATTAAACCAACGGGCTTGGTTTTATCGTACTGGCATTTGTCCTCGCTGTTCTTCTTTGCCTGATTGCTACCTTCTAAACAAGCTTTTTCCCCCTGTCTTTTATATTTTGGTCTGTTTTCCACACCTTTTGTCTGGTCTCACTGTATGAATGTAAATGGCTCTGGGATGAATCATGGCAGCATCTTTTAAATGTCACTGCCAACCATATACAGGGCTATTAGGATGGGAGGCAATGAAGTTTTGCCTTCCTCTTGGGTGAACTTCTGGAGTTCGTCCTCATTTCAGGTGTACAAGGCTTTTTACTCCTGCTAGAAATCTGTAGTTTTGCAACTGAAGGGCAAAAAAGCCAAAATTAAAAGATTGAAGATCCAGCTGACTAGCAAGATCAACTGCATGGTGGGTACTCCAACAGTTTCCAGTGTGCAGCTGGCCTGCATATAGCTTGGCTAGGAGTAATATGATGGTAAGAGTGGGTTAAGTGTGGCCAGTTCTCCCTTCCTTGAATGGGCACAGTTCTCTGTTTAAAGGACTGTCAGAGAATATTCCACCTTTTGAAGATCTTATCCTGATAAATCCAAGTTTGATTGAAAGAGCAGAAGAACCAGAAGAAGGGAGATCAGCAGAATGGGCACAGTCCTCTGTTTAAGGGACTGTCCGAGAATATTCCGCCTTTTGAAGAACTTGTCCATTTGAAGAGCTGATAAATCCAAGTTTGATTGAAAGAGCAGAAGAAGGGAGATCAGCAGCCTCAGTGTTACCCATAATCCACAGTGATGGGCCCAT